TCAGTGAGCAGGTGTCAGGCTTCCCTAGGTCAGTGAGCAGGTGGTCAGGCTCCCTAGGTCAGTGAGCAGGTGGCAGCTACCATAGGTCAGTGAGCAGGTGGTCAGGCTTCCTTATGCGTCAGTGAGCATGTGGTCAGGCTGCCAGGCTACTCTAGGTCAGTGAGCAGGTGGTCAGGCTTCCCTAGGTCAGTGAGCAGGTGGTCAGGCTGCCAGGCTTCCATAGGTCAGTGAGCAGGTGGTCAGGCTGCCAGGCCTCCCTAGGTCAGTGAGCAGGTGGTCAGGCTACCAGGCTTCCCCAAGTACAGCTGGAACGTAGGACTGATAATGAAAAGACGGATTTCTTTCTCGCGTGCGGGATATTGGTAATATTCTGTTGATTGCATGTTGTTGATATTCTGCTCTCGCTCGTGGAATATTGATACTATTTTCTCGCTTGTGGGTTGTTGATAATCTTCCTTTGTTTGCATTATATCGTTGATAATCTTCCCTCGCTTGCGTGCATGCGGCGTTTGATATTCTTCTCTCGCGTCGATGACTCGGTGACGATCTTATCTCGTTTACATGATATTGTTAATAATCTTATTTCGCATGGTATGATGTTGATAATCTTCTCTCTTGCCCGCAGGATATTGATAATCTGATGTCGGAAGGAAACAAGTCTCGCACGGTGGCGGCGACGAACATGAACAGCGAGAGCAGCCGATCGCACGCCGTCTTCAACATCAAAGTCACACAGATCCTCACTGATCCTAAGTCAGGGGTAATTAGAGCCGCTAGCTGCGAGTCCTCGGCCCGGCGCGAGACATTCACACTTCCCGCGAGCGTCGCCTTTGTTACCTGCATTGTCAGTTGCAGCAAACAGAGGTGTTAGTGAGCAGGAACGCGATGGCTTTTCTCTTGATCACGTCAAAGTGATCGTCGGTGAGCTAGCAGCTTCAATGCGTCTGTTCCCGTCGGGGATGCATTGATTTGGAATGTGCCTGGTTCGAACGCCGGGGTACACGCTAATTCTTCATTATATTGTCGGTACGATGAAGATGTAATCATTAGTATCAGGGAAGAAAGACAAAACATATAAAGGACGATGCAATTGTATTCTTAGTAGAGTTAGGTATAATGGCGGCAGAACACGAGTGCGGTGACAGCCATGTTGAACGCGTTCGTCATAGTTGTTCTCGACGGGTTTTGAGTAATTGATTCCATTGCACATCATTTTTCACAGTAACTGCTGAATCGTATCTCCCCAGATCATGTTGGGTTAGTTACGGTGTAATTTTTGCTTTCTTTGGGAGCAACATCGCCGTAACGCGATAGCCAGTACACGTTATTAGTAATGTCGCTCAAAACAGCAGCAGCAGCAGCAGTAGCAGTAGCAGCAGCAGCAGTAGCAGTATCAGCAGCAGCAGTAGTAGCAGTATCAGCAGCAGCAGTAGTAGCAGTATCAGCAGCAGCAGTAGCAGAAACAGTAGCAGTAGCAGTATCCGTAGCAGTAGGAGCAGCAGTTGTAAGCAGCTACGCGTTTTTTTCTTTCGGCAGCAAAAGAATATCACCTTCACATGTTTCGTGCTGATATCGGTGTAGAGAGGTCACGAGACTGCAGGTGTGGCGGCGGATTAGTCGACACGTGTCTCTAATTGCGTACGGTCGTAGATAGCCGATTAAGAGTAATAACATGGAGGCTTTCCTGGCGAGAATAGGCCTACCCAGTTCTAATGAGCGGCTATTACTACTCCACGTTTTCTCATTAAAGCGTGGTGACAGCAACAAGCGAGGGTCTTGCCAAAATCGCCCGGGTGCATGAAAGAAGGCTTTGCGCGACGGTTTAGGAGATTAAGAGCGGCCCGGCTACCCCCAGTCGCCTGCTGCGCATAAATGCGTCATCAATCGCGATACTGTCCTGACATGGACTTGTGCGTGTGTTCATGCGCGTGTCGCGTGTCGTGTGTGGGAGTTTGCGTGCGTGCAAGCGTGCGTTCTTGCACCCCGTATAGCTGTCTGCTTGTGTTCGTGAATGCCACGAGCCAGCTAGGTAATGCTAATAATAAGTGTATTCTCTAATTACTCTACGTATACTTTGACATACGTCCCCTGGATTATAAGAGGTTTCAGTTAAAATATGGGTTTTATGTTACATAACATTTTAAGAATACTCAATATCGATGAAAAATAAGTCTTGGTTTGTAAAACGAGGCAGAATTTGTTACAGATAATAATATTACATGTGCTGCTTCGATCAGGTGTGAACGACGAACGCTGTCCTTTTGAATTTATTTCCCGCTCGTATCAGACCAGGAGCTTATAACACACGCAAAATTAGATTTTAAACTAACTAGTGTTTACCTATGCAAATTGTTGTTTAGCTCAAATATGTGCACGGGATAACTGAAAATTTTGCAATATATTCAAATGTGTGCATAATCTAGCCGCAATATTGCTATCGTTTCGCATCTAATTGCTTGAAAATCTTGTGCACCTGATGGTGTGTGAAATATGGGTATAATAGCCACCAAGAGAGCAAGTTACGCGTGAGATAGCACAAACAATGACACCGCCCATTAAACGAAATAAACACTAATCGCCACGCTTTGAAATTAAGAATTTATTAAAGTCGAATTACCGCCGAATAAGTTAAAGTTATCACGTGTTGGGTCATTGTAGTTGTTTGGCACGTTTTAATGGAATATAGAAAGAGAAGTTACAGTTCTCCTTTACCGTAAATCAGTAAAGCTACTTTTGCGAATTTTGATTTACTTCTTTTATTGATTATATTCAAGACAGTAATACCTGTTTAAGATAAACACGTTTGCATCTTAGTCTCTGATTATAAGACGAGTTACATGAGTAATGTAGTAAGAGTATACGGCCTTATAACCAACTAGATGAAACAATTGTTCTACAGCAACACGTCATCGATGTGCTCGTGTTAACTTAAAGAATTAAACGCTGATATCCACGTTTTGACGAACCACGCGAGTTTAGCGTTAAAACAGCAGACATCGTCCATGCTAGAATTCCCAGATTTTAGTTTCTTGCCTGTCAATCGGGCATATTGTGTGTTTCGTTGCTCTCTCTCTTTCTTTCTCTCTCTCTCTCTCTCTCTCTCTCTCTCTCTCTGTTTCTCTCCCTCCTTCTCTCTCCCTCTCTCAGGCTCTCTGTCTCTTTTTCTCTCCATGTCTTTCGCTCGCTCGCGCTCTCTCTCTTCCTCCCTCTCTCACCATCTGCGCGCGCACGCCTTTGTATATGTATATGCCACGTAATTATGTGGCACGATGTGTGTACACGCACAAGCAGGTAGCCGTTGTTGTAGCAGGCAGCCGCTGTCGCTCGCCAGGCGGGCATGGCAGACTGGCTTCATGGCTGTCAGCGGTGATCGCATGTCGAGCAAGCACTTGGCTGCATGTACGCCGCGCCCGACGAGAATTAGGCTGGAAATTGAGCGTGTCTGACGCCGCTGTCGAGCGGCGGGGCCAAAATAGCCGGAGTTCGTGGTTTCAGCACGCGCGCACGCAGCACACGACAGCTGAATGAGCAGCGTGCCGGCGCGGTAACTGCTGCTGATGCGCGCTATTATGTCGGTGTGTGGGGGGAGGGGGAAGCGTCTGTTCTCGCGCCTTGTAGTGTCCGTCCGAGTCCCCGAGCGGCTAGCTTCCTCGAGCTGTACGATCACTTAATCGGGCAGCCAGCCCTCATCTGATGCGAGGGCAGGCGTTTACTCAGTCATGTTATCCTAGGTCAGTGAGCAGGCTACCAGGCGTCCCTAGCTCAGTGAGCAGGCTACCAGGCGTCCCTAGCTCAGTGAGCAGGTGGTCAGGCTTCCCTAGGTCAGTGAGCAGGTGGCCAGGCTTCCCTAGGTCAGTGAGCAGGTGGTCAGGCTACCCCAGGTCGGTGAGTAGGTGGTCAGGCTACCCTAGGTCGGTGATCAGGTGGTCAGGCTTCCCTAGGTCAGTGAGCAGGTGGTCAGGATACCCTAGGTCAGTGAGCAGGTGGTCAGGCTACTCTAGGTCAGTGAGCAGGTGGTCAGGCTACTCTAGGTCAGTGAGCAGGTGGTCAGGCTACCCTAGGTCTGTGAGCAGGTGGTCAGGCTACCCTAGGTCAGTGAGAAGGCTACCAGACTTTCCTAGGTCAGTGAACAGGTGGTCAGGCTACCCTAGGTCAATGAGCAGGTGGTCAGGTTACCCTAGGTCATTGAGCAGGGGGTCAGGCATCCCTAGTTCAGTGAGCAGGGGGTCAGGCGTCCCTAGGTCAGTGAGCAGGTGGTCAGGCTACCCTAGGTCGGTGAGCAGGTGGTCAGGCTGCCAGGCTTCCATAGGTCAGTGAGCAGGTGGGCAGGCTTCCCTATGTCAGTGAACAGGTGGGCAGGCTTCCCTAGGTCAGTGAGCAGGTGGTCAGGCTTCCCTAGGTCAGTGAGCATGCCACCTACTCACTGACATAGGGAAGCCTGACCACCTGCTCACTGACCTAGGGAAGCATGACCACCTGCTCTCTGACCTAGAGTAGCCTGGCAGCCTGACCACCTGCTCACTGACCTATGGAAGCCTGACCACCTGCTCACTGACCTAGAGTAGCCTGGCAGCCTGACCACATGCTCACTGACCTAGGGAAGCCTGACCTCCTGCTCACTGACCTATGGTAGCTTGACCATCAGGCTTCCCTATGTCAGTGAGTAGGTGGGCAGGTTTCCCTAGGTCGGTGAGCAGGTGGTCAGGCTAACAGGGGTCCCTAGGTCAGAGAGCAGGTGGTCAGGCTTCCCTAGGTCAGGGAGCATGTGGTCAGGCTGCCAGGCTACTCTAGGTCAGAGAGCAGGTGGTCATGCTTCCCTAGGTCAGTGAGCAGGTGGTCAGGCTTCCCTAGGTCAGTGAGTAGGTGGCCAGGCTTCTCTATGTCAGTGAGCAGGTGGTCAGGCTTCCCTAGGTCAGTGAGCAGGTGGTCAGGCTTCCCTAGGTCAGTGAGCAGGTGGTCAAGCTACCATAGGTCAGTGAGCAGGTGGTCAGGCTTCCCTAGGTCAGTGAGCATGTGGTCAGGCTGCCAGGCTACTCTAGGTCAGTGAGCAGGTGGTCAGGCTTCCCTAGGTCAGCGAGCAGGTGGTCAAGCTACCATAGGTCAGTGAGCAGGTGGTCAGGCTACCAGGCTTCCTTAGGTCAGTGAGCAGGTGGTCAGGCTTCCCTAGGTCAGTGAGCAGGTGGTCAAGCTACCATAGGTCAGTGAGCAGGTGGTCAGGCTTCCTTAGGTCAGTGAGCAGGTGGTCAGGCTACCCTAGGTCAGCGAGCAGGGGGTCAGGCGTCCCTAGCTCAGTGAGCAGGTGGTCAGGCTTCCAGGCTTCCTTAGGTCAGTGAGCAGGTGGTCAGGCTACCCTAGGTCAGTGAGCAGGTCGTGCAGGCTTCAAGGTGCAGTGAGGCATGGCTGGTGGTCAGGACTGCCCAGGGCTACTGCTAGGTCAGAGAGGCAGGTGGTCATGCTTCCCTATCGGTGCAGTGAGCAGGTGGTCAGGCTTCCTAGTGTCAGTGAGTAGGTGGCTCAGGCTTCCCTATGTCAGTGAGTAGGGTGGGCAGAGTTTTCCCTAGGTCGGTGAGCAAGGTTGGTCCAGGCTAACAGGGGGTCTCAGGTCAGAAGAGCACAGGTGGTCAGGCTTCCCTAGGTCAGGAGCCAATGTTGGTCAGGCTTGCCAGGCTAACTCTAGGTGCAGAAAGCAGGTGGTCATGCTTCCCTAAAGCGTCGTGAGCAGGTGGTCAGGCCTTCCCTAGCGTCAGTGAGTAGGTGGCACAGGCGCTTCTCTATGTCAGCTGAGGCAGGTGGTCAGGCTTCCTAGGTCACGTGAAGCAGGTGGTCAGGCTTCCCTAGGTCAGCTGAGCAAGGTGGTCAAGGCTACTATAGCGTCAGTGAGCAGGTGGTCAGGTACTTCCTAGGTCAGTGACAGGTGTCAGGCCTACCCTAAGGATCAGCGAGCGGGTCAGGCAGGCTACTAGAGGTGCGTCCTAGCTCAGTGCGACAGTGTGGTCAGGCTTCCTAGGTCAGGCGAGGCAGTGGTACAAGCTACCATAGGTCAGTGAGGCAGGTGGTCAGGCTACCAGGGCCTACCTTAGGTCAGCTGAGGCAGAGTGGGTCAGGCTACAGGTTTCCCCTAGCTCAGTGAGCAGGTTGTCAGGTCTACCAGGTTTCCCTAGCTCAGTTGAGCAGGTGTCAGGCTCCTAGGTCAGCGCTAGGTAAGCTACATAGGCAGGAGTGCAAGCTACCAAGGCTTCGATGAGCAGTGAGCAGGCTACCAGGCTTCCTTAGGTCACGTGAGCGGGCAGGTTCCGGTCAGGGCTGCAGTTTCCTCTACAGGTCTGCGGTGAGCAGGGGTCAGGCGTCCCTAGCTCAGTGAGAGAGGGTCAGGTCAGCTACCGTAGGTCAGTGAGCACGGTGGTCAGGCTTCTCCTACGGTGCAGCGAGCAGAGTGGTCAGCTACCATAGGTCAGCTGAGAGCAGGTGGTTCAGGCCTACAGCTTCCTTAGGTCAGTGAGCAGGTTGGTGCAGGTTTCCCTAGCCGGCAGTGAGGCAGGTGGGACAGGTTCCCGTAGGTCGGTGAGCATGGTGGGCAGGCTTTCCCTAGGTCAGTGAGCGGGCAGGCTGCCGTCGTACAGGGTAGGCTACCCTTAGCGTAGTGAGCAGGTGGTGCAGCGCTCTCGTAGGTCCAGTGAGCAGGTGGTCAGGTTTCCGTAGGTCAGTGAGCAGGTGTCAGGCTGCCATGCTTGCCCTTGATCGCGTGAAGCAGGTGTCAGGCTAACAGGGTTCGCCTAGGTCAGAGTAGCAGGTGGTCAGGCTTCCCTAGGTCAGGCGAGCATGTGGTCAGGCTGCCAGGCTACCTATGGTCAGTGAGCAGAGAGTGTCAGGCTTCCCTAGGTCACGTGAGCAGGTGGTCGGCTTCTCTATGTCAGTGAGCAGGTGGTCAGGGCTTCCCTAGGTCAGTGAGCAGGTGGTCAGGCTTCCCTAGGTCAGTGAGGCAGGGCAGCTACCATAGGTCGTGAGCAGGTGGTCAGGCTTCCCTAGGTCAGTGAGCATGTGGTCAGGCTGCCAGGCTACTCTAGGTCAGTGAGCAGGTGTGCAGGCTTCCTAGGTCAGTGAGCAGGTGGTCAGGACTGCCAGGCTTCCATAGGTCAGTGAGGCAGGTGGTCAGGCTGCCAGGCCTCCCTAGGTCAGTGAGCAGGTGGTCAGGCTACCAGGCTTCCCCAAGTACAGCTGGAACGTAGCGACTGATAATGAAAAGACGGATTTCTTCTCGCGTGCGGGATATTGGTAATATTCTGTTGATTTGCATGTTGTTGATATTCTGCTCTCGCTCGTGGAATATTGATACTATTTCTCGCTTGTGGTTGTTGATAATCTTCCTTTGTTTGCATTATATCGTTGATAATCTTCCCTCGCTTGCGTGCATGCGGCGTTTGATATTCTTCTCTCGCGTCGATGACTCGGTGACGATCTTATCTCGTTTACATGATATTGTTAATAATCTTATTTCGCGATGTATGATGTTGATAATCTTCTCTCTTGCCGCCAGGATATATGATAATCTGATGTCGGAAGGAAACAAGTCTCGCACGGTGGCGGCGACGAACATGAACAGCGAGAGCAGCGCGATGCGCACGCCGTCTTCACATCAAAGTCACACAGATCCTCACTGATCCTAAGTCAGGGTAATTAGAGCGCGCTAGCTGCGAGTCTCGGCCGGCCGCGAGACATTCACACTTCCGGCGAGCGTCGCCTTTGTTACCTGCATTGTCAGTTGCAGCAAACAGAGGTGTTAGTGAGCAGGAACGCGATGGCTTTTCTCTTGATCACGTCAAAGTGATCGTCGGTGAGCTAGCAGCTTCATGCGTCTGTTCGTCGGGGATGCATTGATTTGGAATGTGCCTGGTTCGAACGCCGGGTACACGCTAATTCTTCATTATATTGTCGGTACGATGAGATGTAATCATTAGTATCAGGGAAGAAAGACAAACATATAAAGGACGATGCAATTGTATTCTTAGTAGAGTTAGGTATAATGGCGGCAGAACACGAGTGCGGTGACAGCCATGTTGAACGCGTTCGTCATAGTTGTTCTCCGACGGGTTTTGAGTAATTGATTCCATTGCACATACATTTTCACAGTAACTGCTGAATCGTATCTCCCCAGATCATGTTGGGTTAGTTACGGTGTAATTTTTGCTTTCTTTGGGAGCAAACATCGCCGTAACGCGATAGCCAGTACACGTTATTAGTAATGTCGCTCAAAACAGCAGCAGCAGCAGCAGTAGCAGTAGCAGCAGCAGGCAGTAGCAGTATCAGCAGCAGCAGTAGTAGCAGTATCAGCAGCAGCAGTAGTAGCAGTATCAGCAGCAGCAGTAGCAGAAACAGTAGCAGTAGCAGTATCCGTAGCAGTAGAGCAGCAGTTGTAAGCACTACGCGTTTTTTTTCTTTCGGCAGCAAAAGAATATCACCTTCACATGTTTCGTGCTGATATCGGTGTAGAGAGGTCACGAGACTGCAGGTGTGGCGGCGGATTAGTCGACACGTGTCTCTAATTGCGTACGGTCGTAGATAGCCGATTAAGAGTAATAACATGGAGGCTTTCCTGGCGAGAATAGGCCTACCCAGTTCTAATGAGCGGCTATTACTACTCCACGTTTTCTCATTAAAGCGTGGTGACAGAACACAAAGCGAGGGTCTTGCCAAAATCGCCCGGGTGCATGAAAGAAGGCTTTGCGCGACGGTTTAGGAGATAAGAGCGGCCCGGCTACCCCCAGTCGGCAACTGCCTGCTGCGCATAAATGCGTCATCAATCGCGATACTGTCCTGACTAAGAAGACGGCTGCGGCGGCGGGGGGGGGGGGCATTTCCACGCTGTTCCTTCCTGTCCGCTAATCTACGGCGGGATTATAAAGAATCTTCCGCCCGCATTCTCGCAGTTTCTCATTCGTTGCCGTGGCGATGGGATGCTGCGTGCATGTGCAGCGTCCACAGATGTAGCCTCAGTGTATTCGAGCCTCTTGAAACATTTAGTCTTCCGCTGGGTGTAATTCAGTATCGAGTGCTAGAGTACACATCGGCCGGAATGATAATTAATTGTGGTAGTATGTCGCGCACGTTGCGATGACATTCGACGCGGCTGCGGTATCGTTATTTAATCTGTTCGTGTGTGCATAATTCATTGCGTTATTTAGTAGTGGCGAGCAGATTGATTACATTCAATGATTGATTTTGCCAACCCAGTGTCCGCGCGCAAACGCGTGGTCGCATTAGTGCTGCCATCTATCGGCGGGAACTATAGCATTTTGCCAAAACACTATCTGTTATAAACTGTTATTATTCGGAAATTCCATGAGGTGTCAATACGCGATAAATTCACTGTTAAAAGAATATTGTGTAATCCGACCTAGAATTTTAGTGTTTGGAATGCAAACGAGTTTAAACTAAATTTTAATACTATAAAAAATGCATGTTTAGAGCTATTGTCTAGTGCTGTAACCATGACACACCCTTCCTGTAGTGTACGATCCCGAGCATTAGCAAGGCACCACCATAAACAATGTGAAACAGGGGCCCTGTTAGCACTACGGGGATGTGATTGTAACTAATGCTCGAAGCCGACTGCCCAGCGTTGTTGAAAATTGCGTGCGGCATCTTTCGTGGCGAATTAGCTGTATATACCTGCTATCGGCGAATGACACGCAAATGGATGGGGTTTTTCTCTGCTGCGCCCGCCGAAAATTAGGCTGTAATATGTACGAATAATTTCAGGATGCAATTTGTATAGCGAAAACTTTAATGAATCCTACCATGGCATTTATATTAATGAGATGATGTGCCGCAGTTAGGTTGGATGATGATAAACAGGGTGCAGGTAATGCTAGTGAGGTGTGCGTGTGTGTGTGTGTGTGTGTGTGCGTGTGCGTGTGCGTGTGCGTGTGCGTGTGCGTGTGCGTGCGCGTGCGCGTGCGTGCGTGCTTGCGTGCGCGTGCGTGTATGATCGTCTGCGTTCGTGTGAGTACATGCATGTGTGCCTTAACTGCCTTTGCATGAACGCGTGCATACATCCGTGTGCGCATGCACGGTGCGTGTGTGCATGTGTACATTTGCCTAAGCTGACAGTGATCATTCTAACATTGTTTGCTTTGACAGGTATCGGGTGAGAAAGTGAGTAAAGTGAGCCTAGTGGATTTAGCAGGCAGTGAGCGTGCGCAGAAGTCTGGAGCCGTTGGAGAACGATTAAAAGAAGGCAGCAACATCAACAAGTGAGTGTGATATTGTGGCAGGCTGCTTCCTCAGTTGAGAGAATCACGACAAGCTGCCGAGCAACTCCCACATCAATGCAGAAAATTCACAGCTTAACTCAAATAGTAAAGCACTTAGCACGTTGGCAACATTTTACAAATACTGAAAATATTCTAAAATTTGATGCTCCACAAGCATGCACTTAGACTTTCCACAATCATCGTAGGAATCTCTCCACGTTGTCACTTCACCCCTGAACTAGAAAATATTGTATTATGCAAACATTGGTTAAGGTATGTAAATATCTTAAATGGTTGCACACATGGTCAATAGAACTGCGCAGGCGGTAAGTTAATCTGCACACATTTTCAACCGAATTTCAAATACTCCCGAGAGAAATAATGTGTCAACAGCATGCACATAAATTTATAAAATTACAGAAATGAAAAAAATTTATGATAATTATTATATATATAGAGCTAGCAAGTTATTTTCACTGACTGAGTGGGTTTATTATGTGTATTTGGGTCTGCTTGTCTAAACGCAACCAAATTATACAGAGTCAAAAACATATTAATACAACCTATTGTGATATGGTTGTGATTAAAAATGTCTCTACTCATACTACTACAACTTCACATATTTACTACGAGAATTATTTCAGGATTTGAATACTAGTTATTAAACAGAGCATTAGTGACATGACATGTTTTGATGTTTATTCATGTATGTCAACATATGACACCACAATCACATTACTTGATTGTCACTATCTTGGCTAGTGTTGTTGTTGTTGTTGATAATGTTGTTGTTGTAACAATTGTTGTTGCTTGTAGGTCTTTGACAACACTAGGTCTTGTGATATCTGCTTTAGCAGACCAAGCTGCTGCTGGCAGTAAGAACAAGAACAAGTTTGTACCATACAGGGATTCCGTTCTAACATGGCTACTAAAGGTAAGCACTATCTCTTTCTCTTATTCCCTCTCCATTTTCCAGCTTCTTCATCTTCGTATCCCCTCCCTCCCCTATCTCACACACTGTCTCCCCCCCCCCTGTCACTCACTTTGTGTCTTTCTCACACGGTTCTTCTCTCTCTCATAATAACAGCATATGTGGTATCAGTATTTAGAAGCCTCTCTTGTCTCGCTGTCTTACAGGAGGTTCACTCACTGCTTTCAGTGTCGTCTGCTCACTAATCTAGTTGACACGTTACGCGTGCGTTTTGCCTAGCAGCTCCCCCTAGTGACGTGTTTTATCACTAATTTGCTATTTCCAGGACAATCTTGGAGGCAACAGCAGAACTGTGATGATTGCAACCGTTAGTCCCGCAAATGACAACTATGAAGAAACACTATCTACATTACGGTAAGCAGCAACTTTACTCTCGTGGATTGGTATGTTTGTATTAAGTAACAACCTATTCCTAGTGCAAATGTTGCTTTTTGCTATTGGCGACTGATTCTATAAGTTTCTGACAAAAGTATATTATTGGTAGTTAGCGTAATGATCACATGTGTGATTTTGCTCTGCCTATAGACTCATGTCACGTCTATGATTATTATGTTATATATATAAATAAATAATATGCAGCCAGTTATGTGTTTTGCCTATCATTGGTATGTCATACCAATACCAATGATTACCATACCAATTTATAGGGGTTGTCTGCCATTATTAAACCATACATACGTTTTTATTTACGCTGTGGATATATGCCCGGCAGCCGGGCACGGTCTTCGTTTTCCTAAATGCCCGGCAGTTCTTAACCCTAACCCTATACCTAACAAAAACCCTAACTCTAGCCCTAAACCTAACCCTAACCCTAACCCTAATCCTAACTCTAACCCTAACCCTAATCCTAACTCTAACCCTAACCCTTGTTTACTTGAGATAACGCTAAAAATTAAAAACTGCCGGGCATTTAGGAAATCGAAGACCGTGCCCGGCAGCCGTCAGATATACGCCGGCTGCCGGGCATATAGCCACTGTGTTTTATTTATAATGCCTATCAATATTATGGCATTCCTACCATTTAATATACATGCCTATGATCAGTAATTTATCATATGACTATCATTAATTTCTCATTTTTACCATTAATATGATATGAAAACTGATATTATGATGTACCTACCATTAGCATGTCAATTCAATCATTAATATAAAATATCTATTATAGAAATTTAATGCTCTATACTAGTATACATAAATTCTTGGAACTATTAAAGCTGCTTTCCTCTGAAATCCATCAACGTATCTATTCAATGTAGTGTTCTATGCAAGTGTTTTGTGCATATAATATTTTGATCAGATATACTTAACATAAAAGCGTGCGTGCGTGCGTGCGTGTGTGTGTGTTGTTTGCTCATGCAAAATAGTATAAAATAAGTCGAAATTTATATCATTGAGCCAAATTAACAAAAAGTAAGTTTGAGATTATTATTCCCTAACTGCTACTTTGCTATGAAGTTTTACCCCAAAAAACGTTTTATTTCGTTTGTGCTGAGCCTCTTTGCACACACTCAAGTTGACTTTGAATGAATAGACGTGGCAGTGTTTACATTTTGCGAATTATATTAATCAATTTACCAGTCTTGTTTGGGCAAAACGTGGCATTTTGGGCGGCATTTTTATGTGGCACTCAAGAAATGGTAGTGTGCATACGAACATTTATGACAGCTTTATCTCGGGGAATGCAGTTTTAATATTGATCAGTTTTCTTGTGGCGTGTTGTCATCTGTCCATGCATGAAAGTGTGCGCAGCAACAGTGACAATAACTGCTGGTCGGGAGTTGGTACTGGTTGGCTTAAGGTTTGGTGTTCGTGTTTTAGCTATGCCGACCGTGCCAAGCGTATTGTCAACCACGCTGTTGTAAATGAAGATCCAAATGCTAAAATCATCCGCGAACTACGATCAGAGGTGGAACATCTCCGTGTTCAGCTCAAAGAATCCAAGGTATTAACCTCTCTATGTCCTATCATAATTGTGCCTATCAGCCATATCCTATATTTTCTTATAAATTACGCCACTGTATGTGTACCTCATTTTCTTATCATTAGCCTATGGTACGACTTTTTTACATAGATAAACTGTCTCTTCATAGTTACGGACGGCATGTTTCTGTGTGTGGTACGTATACTCTTTTTGTTAATTTGTCGTAACCTTTTATGCGTTACCATGGTTGCACAACTTCTTCTTGGTTCGCCTGCAGATGGCGCCACATGACCAATGAAGTGTAGGCTTTAACATATAGGTGTTGAACAACAGTAGAGGGCGTCCATAGGCTGCAGGCCTGAATAAGCATCAAACATAAATTAATTAAAAATACGCACGCTGTTACTGCGGCTCATAGGGTCTATGTGACCCAGGGTACTGCCGGAACGTACCCTGGGTACGGTCCGGTATACCGGAACGTACCCTGGTCACTATTTGATATGGTTAGGGTTAGGATTAAGGTTAAGATTAGGGTTAGGGTTAGGGTTAGGGTTAGGGAGTAGGCGACTCCCTAGACTCGTTAGTGGAGTAGGCGAAGTACGGTCCGGCATATTAGATAGTACCAAGGTACGTTTCGGTATACCGGGACGTACCCAGGGTACGTTCCGGCAGTACCCCGGGGGACATAGACCCTCTCAGCGATACTGCGCTTACAAAACATACACTTTATTCATGTTAAATAACTACAGATTCGTGCTCTATGCTCCGCTCGAAACTTTTGCCGGCTCTATAATGCGAATTTCTACAGAGTAGTGGGATCCCGTTTCATACACAAAAATGGCCGACCGGCGACCATGACTATGCCACTAGCTGGAATGGCACAATTACACAACACGAATAATTTTACTTCTAATGCTTTCTAGACGTCCACGAGGCATCTACCTTGCGTGCATAATGCAAATTATTGCACTCTAGTGCCGAATTTCGGCGAAAAAAATGCCAAAAAAGACCTTTTCTAGAGACGAAATAGTGCAACGGTGAACGATTGCGGATGCTTACTGTTGTACACCTCCTATAGGTGGTGAACAACAGCATAGGGCGTCCATAGGCAGCAGGCCTGAATAAGCACCAAACAGAAATTAATTTAAATTACTCACACTGTTACTTCGCTTACACAACATACACTTTATTCATGTTAAATAACTACAGATTCATGCTCTATGCTCCGCTCGAAACATTTGCCAGCTCTATGATGCGAATTTCTGCAAAGTTGTCTGAACACATTTCAAACACAAAAATGACGAACCGGTTGCTGTGGCTACGCCACCAGACGGAATGTCACGAAGACCAATTTTACGTCTAATGCTTTCTAGACGTCCACGAGGCATCTAACTTGCATGCATAATGCAAATTATTGCACTCTAGTTCAAAAATTCCAAAAAAGGCCTTTTCTAGAGACGAAATAGTGCAACGGTGAACAATTTGTGGAGGCTTACTGTTGTATGCCTCCCATAGGCTTTAGCATGTGAAGGGTGGGCAGGGTAAGGTATCAGCGTATCGATTGCCATTAGAGCAGCAGCCACCCAGCAGCTGGGCTGCAGGTCATAGACGTTCTTCTCCTTAGGAATTTAATTGCTAATAGAAATCTGTAGGAAGATTTTATTGACGGCTGTTTAAAAACAAAATGTCTCTCTCCCCTGTGAATGCTCCTGCTGGCATGACCTTACCACGAGAAATGTTTGTAGTGGAATTTAAATGACAGCAGTCATTTACGAAAAATTTGGCATCATTATGCATGTGGCAACGTATAAACTAAATCACCTTGGGAAATCATATTTAAACACCTAATATGATACCTAATTAGCTTAGCAGGTTGTGATATCTTTACGTTATAATAAATCGATGTTATAATTAAATATACCGGTGAGCTTAATTTATTTACTGCTTAATATTAGACGAAAAGCTGAAATTAAGCAGTGTTACTTTATTGCATGAAGCAGTCTAGTTGCAGTACCTATTCTGCCGTGGCACACCATGCTTTGCTGACAAGATTCCTTTTTTTCTGCAGCAATCGGCTGATCTGCAGGAGAAGCTGCAAGAGTCTGAGAAGCTGATGTCTGAGATCACCAGGTCGTGGGAGGAGAAGCTTAGTGCGACTGAACAAATACACGTGGTATGTATGTCTATCAAGTTATCCTGCTTTCACAACCAGTTGTACACGTATGGTGTGTATGATAGCCTAGTATAAACCTATCCTGATGTAAGGACAGCTAGATACATGTAGTATACATGTATACTATGTATGATAGTCTAACCAAACTGACTTTACGACAACTTTATAAATATGTATACTATGTGAAATAGTATCTTAACTGTAAAGACAGTTATACTCATGTTGTATTGTATATGCACTGTACTTATTATTATACATATATATATATGGTAATCTGTCCCAGCTGAACAGGTAGTTCTACACTTGTGCTACATTATCATAGACTATCAGCTATACAAGGTGGCCCGACAAAGAGTTAAATTCATATAGCCTTTTTGTGGAACACAAATGCAACTATGGTACCTATGCAGGCTTGCCTCAGGGATAAGGCTGTCACACAGGTATGCTGAGCCTATCCTGTGGGCTACCACTATTGGTTCTCACATAATCATCGTATATGCAGGGTATAATGCATCTCACTCTCTGCATTGCAGATGCAGACCGATTTGCATATAATGCACATCTATTCAGCGTCATGCTGCATTGCCAGTCTAGTCGCGCATTCATAATTTTGCATGGAAATTACGTCTGATTGAAATCCTTGACAAATATATCGCTGACTTTAATACTCGGCCACCATACGAGTGTTCCGCATTCATCAGCTGCTAGTATGCTGAAAGAGTCTGTGACATGGATGAGGATGCTGTATGTGTGCGTGATGGATGCTGGCTGCGCTGTCAGCTGTTAGCGTGACACTAGTGCTTGCAAAACCCAGGTTCACAATTAGCAAAATCTCAAGCCCCTGTGGGCAGCGAAATATGATCTGAATTTCTTATGAGTTAGCTTAATGGATTCTTTTACAAACTATTCACACATTCTATGCAATGTCAGTATGGCATGTGGAGAGGAACAATGGCGGTGTATCCGCCGTGTTCAGGTATGAGAAAATCCGCACGTCTTCAATAGATCGCAGGTGCAGGATCTGTAGCGTCTCCTATGAATTGTAAGTACACGCACGTCTGAACGTTGTTGTGTAAGGGTGATAATACCTATGCGTAAGCTAACGGTAAAGACTTCAGGATTGCCCCTGTGTTTGCATGTGTGGACCTATGATGGATGTGGATGGGGAGTTACATGTACTGTGTTTCACATTAGGTGCGACAGGCGCGACCCTATGGCACATGCCAGTTGATTCGTATAGTCCTTCGCTGAAGTCGCGCACAAACTTCTTTTAGATGATGTAGTTGCAAACGGGTTTAGGACGAGGGACAAAACAAGATGCTGCAATAGAAGCATCGACCAGGTGGTCTTTGAAATGGCGTTCCGGCCGGATGGTAAATGAGGCGGCACGCAAGGTGTTTTAAAGGAAGAGCCCCGAGAGAGTGTTCAACAGTCGCGATGCTATTTGTTTGAAGCTCACACAAAGTGCCTTTATACGGAGCGAGAGTCACGGCTTAGCGGCAGTGAGATATGGCTGTAGCTCGCGGGTGCATGTGCGCGCGTGCAGTACGCGATAACTGTAGAAAGTATCGGGCAACGATCGCTTCAAGAGTTAGGCAAATATTTCAACGGTCAAAAACTGCCCGCGAGTTTACGCGAGCGGAATTTTACGAAAGTGCGTGCAAATGTCGCGGCTGGCAGAGGGAGATGTTATCTTTGCGTGTGCTATAATAGAATATTAAGTGGCAGGCATGATCGCCGGGTTCCCCTGGCGTGCGGCTTAGTAGTCCACTGGGAAGCCATGCATGTGAGTAGCGTCTCCGATGTAGATTGACATTCCGCGTATAGATGGCGTTTTAGCCGACGTCTTGCGTCGTATTGTGTCTTTGTTTTCAACGACTGCTTTCTGTCGGTGTATTTAGATCGCGCTGATAATTGAGACTTGAAGCAATTTCTTGCCTCGCTGGCGATCCCTGTTTCGAGTCGTGCGTACCGCTCTGCTGAGGCATTGACGTTCTGTTGATATTCGACACAAATGTTTATGTACGCAGTTTCGAGTCAGTAATTTCCCACAGGAGTTCCCCACTTGCAACGATACGTCTAGCCTCGCACCTGTACCGTCGCAGTGGTTTATTCGCAAATTAGGAAGTCGTGGCACGCGTGTGTATAACTGACACTGGAAACAAAGTCAAAGGAGACGAAGCAGCATCTACAGTCCCTTTTCTAGTTACACTACTAAAATGATAAAATATAACTAAAATATATTACTAACAATAATAATAATAATAATAATAATAATAATAGTAGTAGTAGAACACTGCTATTACAACGTCTACGAAGATGAAAACTAATGAGCACAAAATCTAGTGCAGGATTAAATATCGAAAAGGTTTTATCATCTAATTGAGTTTGCCTGCACGCTTCCAAAGCTTAAAATGCGATTGCGTTCGTACCTTGTTTCAGGCGCTTGTATTTGTCGTAGACAGTGTGAGAAAAAGTAGAGAAACCCTTCACACACTAATCTTGATAGGATTACATCAGGTGAACGCCTGCAAAATATCAAATATCAAATGCATTTCCTCTCATCCTTCCTTCTGTCAAACTCTCTGTCTCTTGCTAGTGCACTGCGTGCGTTCGCTACGTTAAGCCTCGCTACTGCTTTCACACGGTCTTTAAATTTCAATCTACTCACAATATGAGTGAGAAAGATGGAAACCACTTCGGATGTTTATCTGCACGTGGTCGCTATGGACCGAGTGATGGCCTAGGGGCGACAGAAATACAATTTCCATATGCAGGCTATACATGCAGCACGCGACCAGGCCGGGGCGTATCGACGCTAGCGCCGGTGTTTGCGTTCATCATGTTAAGTTAATATATGCAAACCTAATCATGGCTTGTCGTCATCATGATCAAAGCAGCAAGTGACTCACGACAGCCTGACAACGCACGAATGATGCGCATAGTGACTCGCGTGTCTCAGACAGCAGGGAGCGACTCACTGTGTCTCAGACAGCAGGGATTGACTCGCTGTGTCTCAGACAGCAGGTAGCGACTCGCTGTGTCTCAGCCAGCAGGGAGCGACTCGCTGTGTCTCAGACAGCCGGGAGCGACTCGCTGGGTCTCAGACACCAGGGAGCGACTCGCTGTGTCTCAGACAGCTGGGAGCGACACGCTGTGTCTCAGACAGCAGGGAGCGACTCGCTGTGTCTCACAGTCGCTCCCGGCTGTCTGAGACACAGCGAGTCGCTCCCTGCTGTCTGAGACACAGCGAGTCGCTACCTGCTGTCTGAGACACAGCGAGTCGCTCCCTGCTGTCTGAGACACAGCGAGTCGCTCCCGGCTGTCTGAGACACAGCGAGTCGCTCCCTGCTGTCTAAACCACAGCGAGTCGCTCCCAGCTGTCTGAGACACAGCGAGTCGCTCCCTGCTGTCTGAGACACAGCGAGTCGCTCCCTGCTGTCTGAGACACAGCGAGTCGCTCCCTGCTGTCTGAGACACAGCGAGTCGCTCCCAGCTGTTATAATAGTACATAGGCCGCACATATCGTCAGGTCCGTATATAGTTCCAACAGTATGAAACTGTCAATCACACCGAGTCCCTCCCAGCTGTCTGAGACACAGCGAGTCGCTCCCTGCTGTCTGAGACACAGCGAGTCGCTCCCTGCTGTCTGAGACACAGCGAGTCGCTCCCAGCTGTCTGAGACACAGCGAGTCCCTCCCAGCTGTCTGAGACACAGCGTATATATACGCATGCACGCACGGACGCACACACGCATGCACACACATATGACACACACCTACCACAGGCAGAGTGTACAGAGTGTTGCCTCACCATTATACCGTGATCATCAGGGAAATACGTGCGTGGCACACGAGCTGTCCTGCATGAATGTTTTAACGAGAGGTTCCCCTTTGCAAGATAATTCAATAATGGCGAGCGAAGATGAAATCTGGAGCCGAATGCATTAACATTTCTGTGACATTAGAGATGGCAACTGCCTCGCCCGCTAGTATAATCCTCTAATCGATGCGGCATTTGAACGCCGATAACCAATGCGCTTGTCCGAATACTGTTACCGTTGTGTATGTTGTATCGTGCCATGATCGCCGTAACATGTTGTGTGGTACGGTTACCGTTATGATATATCGTATCGTGCTGTGACCGTTAATATATGTAGTATCATGCTGTGACCGTTATGATATGTAGTATCAT